TAATTCAATTGTTGTTGCTGTAGTTAATTTACGTTGCACTAGAGCTGCACAATGGGCTATTGGCGACGGTCTGAGAAACATCCCTGAAAATAATCCGAAGGCAAGCCATTACAATTTTGATCCTCTGCAGAGGGGATGGCACCCCTGCTTCGGTAGTCCAACAACCTGCACGCGAAGTCGAGCGCTTTACAGTAGAACAGTTTAATGAAGACCAATACCGCACACCCTCGGTCCCTACGCGTACTGATCCAAGTGGTCACTCACCCGCACACTGACTGCAGCCAGAAATATAGTTTAGAATGGCAAGTATTTTTGTAGCAGATACATATTTTTCTATTAATTTAAAAGAATTAGGAAATATATATTTTTCTTTCTAAGAATAAGAAAATAAAGCGAAGTTTTTTCAAGTTATTTTTTAAACAAAAAGAAAGCAGTTACACATTAATTTCTCTTTTATTCTCTATTGTTTAGGTTCGGTGAAAAAATTATATTTCGTCCTTTTTTATGTATATAGATTTTTTTTTTGTTGTGATTATTCGTTAGATCAGGTAGTTTAAATTGGTTGAAAACACCGTTAGTGTAATCACATATAATGAATAATAATAGATACAATATTTTTTGTTACAAAATATAGTTTTTTTTAATGCATTTTTAGGAGAAATGAGTGAAGCAGAAATTTTTTTTTTACAAAATTTGCCTTTTTTTAACAAGCATAAAATAATTTAGATTTATTACAGTTTCATTTACAACAGATTTATTACTTGTTTCTAAATAAAAAGGAAATAGGAGTTCCCTATTACATTCTGTTTGACGATATAACCAGACTCTTTTCATTTCTACGAGAAATTAGAAATTTAAAAAAAAAAATTAATCTCTTGAATTTAAAATACAACATAGTGTATTATTATTTTTAAATAAAAACAATTTAGGAATAGCACATTATATTCTGTATATGTGACAAAATAATCAGCATTTTTTCATTTTACATAAAGAAAAGAAATAGGGCTTAATTGTCTTCTAGAATTTTAAGTTGACAAAAATGAAATTAAATATAACCTAATACCTAAAAATAATCTAACTGCATGCATTGCAACCTCGTCGAAACTTTTTAAATAGTTCGAATAACATCATTTGATAGTTTTAGGCTAAAAAAGTATTTATACTAAAATGTAATTTATTGAGCTTTACCAATTGCACCAGATAAAACATTTAGCAAATTAAATATAAATAGAGCATAATCCCAGACTTTAAAAAAAAATTTTAAAGTAAATATTCAAAATAAACATCAGTATACGAATTTAGCTTAATTTTTAAAGAAACAAGTCTTTATAACAATTCTTAACTTTTCTTGAATTATTTAAATAATATTTTTCTTTCAAAACAATTAGCACATTAATATCAAAATATCACATACTGCCTTAATGGTAATTTTAATGTCAAAGGAAAATTCAAAACAAGAAGAAAAAAAGAAATTTGCCAAATTAACTGTAATAGATTTTTTTCCTTTCCTGCCGAATATTATCATTTAAAAAGGTATTATTTATTTTCTTCGAAAATTCAAAGTAAATAAATCTTTTAAGCAACAAAATAATTGGCAATGCCAGAGAGGCATCTGTATCTATGCGATTGGACGAAATTCAACGCTATTTCAAATCACTCTTCACATAGAACATTGATTGAATTATTACAACAAATAACTACGAGGGAAATAAGGGACACGCCTTCATGTAAAGATATTGAAAGAGTCAATTCGTAACCTCAAAGGTCACGGTCGATCTCGACCTCGAAAAGGAAGCCGCCGATAGCAGCGAAAGCTAGGGAGGTGGTCCGAAAGTTAGGGGACCAATGGCGTAAAGAGTTGTCTGGATGCTCAAAGTAAACTACTTGATTAGATGTCCCCCCAAAAACGATTGTAATTAATGCAATAAATACAGTAGACTGAAAAAATAGACAATAAAAAAATTGGAGCATTTTTATGTAAATGTAGGCCGTAGTTACTTTACAGTAAGCTATTCACTATTTCAAACAAAATATTCTGAATTTTTCATTAAATGTATAAAATACATAAATGTAATGACCCCTAAAACTTTATAACTAAGTTTCATTATTAAATCACTTCATAAAATATTTTGCTTAAAAAGTATTTATATATTATTCTACTACCCTTCATCTTCTCAGTACTGTTGTACTACCCTTCATGCTTCGTCATAAGTTCAGCATTTTAAAGTAGAAGATGTAAAAAAGGATAAAGATAGGGAGAAAAAATATAGTGTTTGATAATATAGCTTGTCTACAAAGAAAATAAAGTGTTTAAATATAGCTTGAATTCGCATACTAAATATAGTTTTAACAATTTTAACACATCCTTCTAATAAGGAAATAAAAAGTTAAAATATTTATTGCCTTAAAAAAAGAAAGAAAAAAAAGGTGAAAAGAGAGAGAGAGAGAGTAAGACTAAGGAGAGAAGAAATGAGACAATAAGACTCGTATTTTGTAGGAATTTTTTTTTTAATTTTATATGTGGGAAATATGTATTAATATCAAAAAATTAGGAAAAATATTTAAATGCTTCTACTTTTTGCATCACAGAAAAAAAAATTAAAATAAGGAAAATGCAATTGTAAGCAACCGCCTCCACCCCCCTCCCCCATATGCCCGAGCATCAAAAGGGCAGGGGGACAAGTCACCGCTTACCCGACATTCCTACAAATAAACTTAATCTGCAAGATAGTAGGCAAAGCTATCACAAAATTCTTGCCTTTTCCTGAATACAAATTTGTTCAAAAATACTAACCTGCTTCACCTGTTCCAAAATACTAGCCTGTGATAAAATATCGCCTGTTCCTAAATACTAGCCTGTGAAAAAATATCAGCTGTTCCAAAATACTAGACTGTGACAAAATACTGCCTGTTCCAAAATACTAGGCTGTGATGAAATATCGCCTGTTCCAAAATACTAGCCTGTAATAAAATAACAAGCTGTTTCGATCTAACGTGTGTTGGCTTTGAATGTTGTTGAATTAACATTAATAAAGTCTTCATGGAAAACAAAAACAATATTTATTGATAATATAAGTACACTCATAACTTACTACATTCACATACATATGATATCAACGTTCTACAAAATAATAATGTTTACATCACAAAATCGAAACTGAAACTAAAACATAACTGCTGTTGTCATTCTTCATTTTTACAATATATGTGCTTACGGTGGCCAAGAAATAAATTTTTGGCAAGAAATTGAAAGACAATTTTTGCCTAGTATTTTGGAACAGGCCTTTGGAAGTAACCTGTTATTTTTATAACAGGTACGATTAAATAACAGTTGAAAAATACCTGTTCCAGAAAATATTAGCCATCTCTAGTATATAGTGACATATATATAGTGATGTTGAGAATTGTAAATTAGGGGGGATACACATAAATTGTAGTAGCAGTATTTGGTGATAAATGTGTAGTTGATTGCAATTGAAGGGCATGTTGAGTGAGATTTTATGAATGTAATGAGAAAATAAATTTAAGAATGTATTGAAACATCAAGTTGCTATTTGCAAATACACTTTATCCAAAGAAAAGCATGTAACCTAAATATTCTTTCAGAATGAAGTGATTTTTTGAACAATGAATCCTAGAATATACAACATATTATTACAACATGTTACTCTTAAACATTACCTATTTCAATGTTTTTAAAATGCTATCCAACATTTTTTGATTTCTACAGTTAAAGAAGAAAGAAATATCTTACATTATATAAAACCTTGAGAATATGCATTAGAATTACCATACGCTCTACATTTTTTGTTTGTTTGTTTCTTTAAACCTTCTTGCCTAGAAGATTCGATCTAAGGATTATCTTTAAAATTTAATTATAAGTTATGTAAATCCATATTATATTATTATTATAAATTAATAAATTAATTATGTATATAATTATAATAAGTTATGTAGATTTGATTTCAGTATTAAATCCTCCTATTAATGAAGTAAAAAACACAAATTATGTCAGATAAAAAAGTTCCATGTTCAAGCTCTAAAAGCTTGGAAAATCATTAATAATTTATAAATCCATCCAAATTTTCTTTTCAAAGAAGATTAAAAAGAGGGAAAAAATCTTTGCTTTTTGGTCACGAATCGGCTCTAAAAATGTCAATTGCCTAGAAACTGTGGGATAGTTTTCTATCAACTAATAAAAAATAAATCCCTCTGAGCAATCACAGAACATTGTTTTATTTTTTATCATTGTCTGAACTTGGTTTCTTTGCAACAAATTAGGTGTTGCTCTCTTGAATTATCTTAAATTAGTCATTTACGAAGATGACTTTGTTTAGCTGTTTTTTGGGACTATCGCAAAATATCTAAAGCTCCCTAGCCCCCGAATTTATGATTCAATCTTTTTGAAATTTTGTCTACTCCCCTAATTTAGAGGGTCAGAAATCCAAATATATATAAAAAAAACATTTTTTCAGAGAAAGTACGTTTTTGTGTCTGATTTTGTAACTTAACTAATAGTGGCACTAGTTAATTAGCATATTTGAAGTAGCCTCAGAAACTATTAAGATTGCCACTTAGTACGTGAAAATCCGATCATTAGAACAAAAGTTATTCAGGGTGATATCTTTTTTGTTTTGCTCACTGTACCATATCACATTTAACTTTTAACATCCACTTATATTCTATTGAAATCTATAATAACCATGATTTATTTGAATAACATAGTTGTCCAATTTTTTTTTTTTTTTTTTTTTTTTTTTTTTTAATAAAAATTGAGTTTTCTAGAAAATATTATTAGAGGTATAATAGTTTTTAGATAAATGTCAAACGCATACATTCATATTTTTTAGAGAAAAAAATTAATTTTTTAAGATGTTTCATTCCATATTTCAGTAATCCTGGACTTTTACTTCACCCTCTGTATTTAATGAAATGTGTATGAATTATATGTATATAGTGATTTACTAGTTAACTTATTATTGATTTTTGTTTAATTTTAGTGGTCTGTTTTGCAATGTGGGCATAGTTTTTGTTGTCATTGTATAAGTATAATTATGAGTCAAGTTTTGACAGAAGACAGTGATTTGCACTGTGCAGTTTGCCGAGAAGTTACCCATGTAAAAGAGGTTTACTATGTGGATCCTGAAAAAATGAAAAGGATAAAAGAATCTATTGAAGTTAAGGTGCTCTAGAATATTTTAATTATTTTTTAGTTGTATTTGTCTTACATACAAAGTATTTCAAAGGTAAACATTAAAACTTAAGACAGAGACAAAACATGCCTAAACAAAAATATTTTACTTTACAAATTAATTGGGGAAACCACATAAGATCCTTTTACACTACATTTAATCTTCATTATGTATAGCAGATAATATATAAATATTAATTAAAATGCATGATTAATAGTTATTTGAATTAGTAATAACTGAGTTTTAAAAATTTATCTCTTAAGAGTAGTAGTATTTATTTCTTGGTAGTTTTATAAGGAGTTTAGTAGAATTTCTTCAGCAGTCTGTTTTATTAATCATTTTAAATGGAAAAGGTATAGTAAACATCTGTATTTTATTAATGCCTAGTGTATAATGTATTTAAATTTATCCTTCATAGAAAAGTAATCTGCACTTTCTTACAAAAATGTGTTTTAAAAATATTTTTCTTTTTATACTTCATTTTTTAAAAATGAATAAAAATTAAAACTAGCATATTTTAGGGTCGCTATTCTACCAAGATTACTGCAGTTACAAAGTGTATTCTTGAAATAAAGAAGAATGATCCATTTGCCAAATCAATTGTGTTCTCTGGAGTAAGTATAACTTTTTCATGATTTCTCTTTATTTTTATTATTAATCGTCAAATGTTATATTAAAACTTTTTTTCTGAGACCTCTGAATTAAATTTGAAGTAGATCCTAGTTGCTTTCCCATGTAATATATAAAATTTTCTTGATGTTATTCAGTGAAGGAATGATCCTTAAATAATATTTATTATTATGAATTTGTCCTGGGTACTTGTCTGTCAAAGGGTTTATCTTGGAGTGGAAGTTTTAAAGCAAAAAAAGAGGAGTCTTAAACTAAAAAAAATTAAATGTGGATCATTTTAAAAAAATTTTAAAAAATATGATATAAATTAATGCACTAAAGTAAAGATTAATAATGATTGCTTAAATAAAATTGACAAATAATCTCACTTCATTTTGTAATCATTAATTTTTCATTATTAGATAATAAAGAGCAGTCCCCATGTAAATATTATGTTAGAAGTGAATACAGGAGTAACAAATGACAGTTATTACTGTTATTACTTTAATTCAGAGTTCATTAGAATTGTTGTGCACATAATAAGAGACAAGGAAAAGTGACTCCGTCTCAGTTCGACTTATCAAGCTGGTTTTTTTAATTATTTATTATTTCTTTTAATACCACACCCTATTTTAAAGTTTTTTTTGGGAAAGACTTATATTCCTTTAGACTCAAAACTTCCAATCCTAGTTGATCTCAGGGCTAAAGAGAATAGAAGGGCTAGTTCACTCCGCTCTTAGAGCTGAAGCTACGATTTCCCTCCTCATGACGTCACTGTGTCCACAGATCTCGGAGATCGCAAGCAAAGATATTATGATAACTTTGCATCTTTTTCTTTGTAAAAATAAGTTAGACATTTTCTGGTTATTAGCTTTCAAACTTTACATAATTAAAACTTTATTTCCGTTCATAAACGTAGTTCAAGAAAACTTTCTTGGCCATTATATTAAAAAAATACCATTTGAAACTTATAAAAATATTTTACTAGTTGGCGAAAATGACACTATAAATACTTTATTTTAAAAAGTTCTGTTTTAACTTTAATAATTAAGAAAAATTAAAGCATATATTGGCACTTTTTTTATCTACATATTCTGTTATAACAATAAGTTGAGTTAAATTTGGAATCCCTAATTTTTAAATATGCTGTTAAAAGCAATTTGTTCATACTTAATCATTAGGAAACATCAACCTTATATGCTAATTACTGAAACAAAATAATAATTTAGGTTCATAATGACATTAGAAATTTTACAATTGTTTATAGATATTTAAATTTATGATGATATAATTTATAGATACAGTAGAGAACCAATTATCCGGGATGCTCGGGACCATCGCTATCCCGGATGTCTGAATTTCCCGGTTTTCTGGATCGACCAAAAAGTGNATTAACTAATTTAAAAATATGTTATGAAATTAGGAGAATTTCAACTATATACTATATATTTTATTTATACTTTTTATTTACATTTTAATGTTCTTTGACTTTATCTATTTTTTAATTTTTTTCACCTGCCTTTCTTTTTGAAGTAACGAGGTGGTTTCTATTTAGATAATGAATTTTTATAAAAGTTCTTAACGATAGAATAAACATATTGCTGTTTTATATTAACTGTGTCATTTCGGAATCCATTCTTTACATAGTTGTTCATTTACTTTAGGGAACATGTTTTTCCTTTTGTTTTTTTATCAGAATTTTTGCAAGTTGCAATCGCTCAAACTGGCATTTCGATAATAATTTAAAATTTTTGTTAATTCTCTGCAAAAACTGAGGAAAGTCATTATAGAAAACAACAAATGTCTTAGAATATGTCACAAAAAAATACTCCAATATTAGTTAGAGCTAGCAAGGCCAAACGCTCCGTTCTTGAAGTAAAAGTGCGAGCTTTGCGCCTAAGTGACGTCACTAGAGAAAATCGGAGGATTGGCGTGGTGAGAGTTTCTTCAAAGGAGTGAACCAGCCCTTCTATTCTCTTTAGCCCTGAGTTGATCTAATGGTTTATCTATCACCTATTTTGCCATATTATGTTCAGCAAAACCTTAGCATGCAGTGAAAAAGATTGAGGGTCTACTTAAGCAGGTGGTGAACTTATAAATAAAATATTTAATTGTTTAATTTTTGTATTCAATTGAAAAGGTTAACTGGGATAGGTGATCAACTTGCAAGTTCAGGGCCATCCAAACAAAAAGTGGGGCCTAAGGCAAAAGGTATTTGCAAGATCTCATATATGTATATATATACAGTCAGACCTCGATATAAGGTCCCCCTAAGGGACATCGCAAAAGTATCCTTATAAGCGGGGTGACCTTTTAACCGATTCATTAGCAGTTCATAACTAAGCATTTCGTTTGCCAGTCTTAAACGAAAAGAAGTTTTGCATTGTTAGTTGGAAGTTTTAATATAGTTGCATATTTTGTATTGTTACACTGATAGTGTACTTATGTTACGTAAGTATATTTGAATAAAATAGATCTCTTTTGAAAAAATTATGTATCACATTTTTCTATAGTAATTAACGTGAATTAAGGGATTACTTTTATTAGTTAAAAACTTTGGAAGAGATAAGTTTTTTTTAATGCAGATGTTTTATTTAAAGAAGTTAATTATTTAGAATTTTATTTCATTAAGAAATTGCATGACATTTCATCCTTACTTCAAATAATTAATTCAATAGAGATTTACTGCAGCATTCTATTCAAAAAGTTAATTATTAGCAGTGGTTTGTTACAAGACAACTTTTTGATGTATAATTTCCATATTCTTTTGTGTCCTTTTTAACAGTATAAGTAAGCAGAAATGCTGACAATACAGTAATATCTCTTTATTTCTTCACTAGGAAATAGTACTTTACCTATGTGTCTTCTTTGTAATAAAACTATGTCAAATGATTCAATGAAACCTCTTAAGCATAAGAAACATTTAATAAAATCCATAGTGAGAAAAAAAGATAAGGATTTAACGTTTTTTCAAACAGTCAAAGAAAAAGATTTGAAAACACTGTACAACTCATTCAAACGAAATGATGATTGACTGTGCGTTTCTTATAGCATTTCTTTATTAATTGCGAAGTCTGAGAAGTCTCACTCTGTTGGTGAAGAACTTATTTTACCAGCTGTAGTGAGGTAATATGCACCATGTTGTACAAACTAGTTTTTCCACATTATAAAAAAAATTCCACTGAGTAATAATATAGTACAAAGAAGGATTGACAAAATGGCTCAGTGCATAGAAAAATTCTTTATGTGAGTACTTAAAGCATTTGAATTTTTTTTCTATACATCTTGATGAGTCAGCTTTACTAGGAAACAAAGATTTACTTTTAGCTTATGTAAGATTTGTAAAAGTAGAAAAATGTTGCCGAAAATTGTTATTTACTAAATGTTTGGGAATCGATACAAATGGTGAAACGCTATATACTGAATTAAAAAGATTTTGCTTTGTAAAAACTATACCCTTGACTAATATCATTTCTGTTGCTACTGATGTTGCTCTGGCTATATAGGAATAGATACCAAGGCTTTCTGGCATACTTAAAACAAGCTGTACTGAATGTATTTTCAGTACATTGTGCCATTCATCGACATAATTTATTAGCAAAAATTCTTAGTGAACATTTGCGTCGATCACTAGATTATGCCATTAAAAGCAGTTAATAAAATCAAAAGGAATGCCTTCAATGAGAGATCATTTGCTCAACTTTGTTTGGAAAATGTGGAAGACTATAATCATTTACAATTTCCCACAGAAATACGTTGGTTATCTAAAAGTGCATGTTTAAATCGATTCTGTGCTCTTATTTATTCAGTGTTAAAATTCCTGGAAAGCAAAGACAATGATTTTTGACACAATTTAATTAACTCAAAAAATGACATAGCCATGACTGATTTATTTGCCAAATTTATCAAAACTAATTTGAAACTACAAGGTGATCAATTAAATTTAATCAAAACCAAAATTGTAATATCTGTGCTTGTTTATGCATAATTTCTGTACAAACAAAGCTTGGGAAGAGGAGAAAGTTCTCAATTTCCAAATCTTTCAAAATAGAGAAGAAGACTTGCTGTTAACACTTTACGGCTCTTCATGTGGACCTGAACCAAAGATTTGAAGACATTTTTCACTTGGATATTCCCCCACCGGGTGTTGAACTCTTTTGGGTGTTTGCAAACTCAGATCCCAAGCACAAATTAGTTGGTACAGGAGCAGCTTATTGAATTATCCACAAATGAGGAACTTAAATCAATTTTTGAATATAGATACCACAAATTTTGGTTATAAAAACAGATCCCAATTTTATCCTGCAACCCTTGCTTTATTTGTCATTGTACAGAAGTTGTTGACTGCTTTCCTGTTTTCCTATTTGGATTTGAGATTGCTACTCACAAACATTGAGCCAAACATAAATTCACTCATAAAATCTCATTACATTCATCCAAGTCATTAATTTTTTTAAACAAAAGTTATAATTTCAATAAATACTTCTTCAATAAAATATCCTTTTTTCTTATTTAAAATTTTTATACTGGACATTCATGTAGATTTTCACTTGGGGGTCCGTGGTTTGGAAACCACTGGTGTAGAGTATAATGGACAGTTGCACTTAACATTAAAAAAAGCATCGATGTAGAATAAACCAGGCAATGGCTCTTGCACCCCTTGATTCATTAGATTATTTAAAATTATAAACAGCTATTATTATTGATTATTTGTTGTTTGATTTGGCAAACTAATTTAATCATTGACAATGACCCTCATTAATGGAAGAGTATCATATACTGTATACAGTGTGTGCCTAAAAGGTTAAGATGCATTTTAATTGAAAATATAAATATTGTAGAAGTGGTGAAAATAAGGTGTGATTTCAGATTATGTTGATGGTGCTGCCTTAATATATTTTTCAAAACATGACAAGAAATTCAAAAAACATAAAACAATGCAATATTTATGCTATTTCACATATAAGATCCCATGTTAAAAAGATGAACTAATGCACAATTCCATAGATAACTACTGAGGAGATTTCAATAATTTTAAAAAATTATTTTGGCAATAATAGTTAAAAGCTCAAAAGAAGGGATATTTTTTATCGGAAGGTGTGGTTAACTCCTAGGTTTTACTGCAAAAGGTTGATAAATATTTGAGATGGAATCATACTTCAAATTTTTATTTAGCTACTTTTGTTAATCTAAAGTTTTGTTGGTAAGATTTTGGGCTGGGCTTTTACAGTAACATAAATATAAAAACAAAATTTTTTTAATAATATATAGAATCTTTAATTTTATGTTTTGTTTTTCAAAAATTTTTAAATTTTTATTTAAATAGAATAAGAGATTGATTAAAAGTTGTTATGAGCAGTTTTTATATCCATTTAAATATGTCATCTTTCATTTTTTATGTTTGATAATAGATATTAAATTTCAATTCTTAATTCTTAAAAAAATTAGTGTACATGTCAGGTGCGAGGCAATCTGAAACCCAAGAAACTAAGTAAGTTAAAAAGTTTTTTTATTGGAAATCATTAACATGGGACCTCCTATCGTTATACAATTGCTTCACTCTGGACACCACAGTATACTTATTATTTTTTAGCTGCATATTAAAGTTTTTTTGGTTAAGTTAACTCCGTAAATTGTAAAGCGCCTCATCTTTAGGGGCTTCTCTCAAACTAACCTCCAAATTAATGTCAAAAATTGCATAAAAATATAATGCTATTATTTCTGAAAACTAAATATATATCACCTAAAATTACTATTTTGTGTGAAGTTTTTTATCTGTATAATATCACTAAAGAAGAGGACCTACAATGGTGTGGAACTATAAAATTTCACAGGCCAACCCATAAATTATAGAAAATATTTATAAACCTGTAAGGAAACTTAATAAGAAACACTTTTTCTAAAATAATACAAAATAATTACAGAAAAAATTAATGTTAAAAGAAAGGCTTCAAACTTTCTAGAATAAGCATGGGGGCCTAAAGCAGCTGCCTTACCCTCGAGCTGGCTTTGTGCATGCTCTGAGCAAATATTGCTTAAAAGTCAAAATTCACCTAAAAAAGCAGTTTAAAACATTTCTGGTTTCTTTTTCCTTTTTTTATCAGTTATCTTTTTTTCTTTCAGAGCGTTGACCTTTTGTATACCATACAAGATGCTTTTACTGCGAATCATATTAATTATTGTTGTGTAGCAGATAAAAGTGAACTTAAGGTAAATATTCAATCATTTATTAAAAACACATATTTAATATAATATTGCTGTAAAAAAATTCACTGCTATCTGCTTTTATCTGGCATTATTTTTCATTGCTTATTGCAAATTTTAATCATATTTACAATGATCATTCTTATGTTTATTTATTCAGGTTGGCCATTAACTTTCTCATTTTTTTTTTATTTCAAAAGTAGTTTACATATTAAAATATTTTTGTCCTTCCTGTTTTGAAATTAAGAATATTGTCATATTTATAAATAATAAAAGAAAAACAAGTAGATCGTGTATATTTTGTTTACCTTATTCATCTTGTATAACTATGGGATATCAGCTTTACCCACTTTTGAAGCTTCACGTCTTAAAGTCTTTAATCCTATCTTGTCTGAGATCCATTGGATTTTCTGAGTCAATAATATGCAATTAAAGGCAAAACAATTCAAAATATTTAAACTTAATAATTTTTTATTTAAAAACTATACCAAATTGATTATTGTAGACTAGTTAATTTGAAAATAATAAGATTGTATATGAATATTTTAGTAGAAGCCTAAAAACTAGTATCTGCCTGTATCATCTCAGATAGCTATGGTAATTTTTAAATAAATACACTATATTGCATTTTAAAACATATCTCAAGAAATTTAAATTTTAGGATTATACTATTCATAAATTTGAAATAGTTTGATTGCATGTACTTGATATGATTAATTTTCATGTATACATTATCAACTTATGATCTTTAAAATTTTGAAATTTGTTTTTTATTGTCAAATTAAAAACAAACCATTATTAAAAAGTTATAAAAAATGTTTGACTTTTAAGAAAACAGTAACATATTTAAAAATTTTCTAGAAAAATTTAGCAGAGTACAAGTTGTCTGAAGACCTAAATGTGTTGGTAATGCCACTTCAACTGGGAGCAAATGGATTGAATATAACTGAAGCAAGTCATGTACTCTTTATTGAGCCACCTATGATAAAGTCCGTTAAATTACAAGGAATTGGACGTCTGCATAGATTTGGACAAGACAAGTAAATAAAATGCATACATTTCATAATTTCGTTATCTATATAGTAATTTGACTAATAAATATTTCCTTTGTTTGATGGGAGTCAAATTTTTTTATGTATATGAAATAGCAGTTTTTCAATCACTTTTTCTTTTGCTTTAAAAAAAAACTGATTCTGGGGTAATTGACACAAAGTGGAAAACCCTGAACATTGTATATGCAAAAACTTATATCAAGATATCAATATATATACTAAAAATTATCATATAACTCTGCAAACTACCTGTTATAAATTTTTATGAGCTAAGATTTTAATCACCTAACAAAGAAGAATATCACACCTGTAAGGTAACTAATTTAATAAAAAACTTACAACTATTAAATCTTACAAGGATCTACTACAGGAATAAAAATAATTATTTTGAAAATTACACATAGATAATCTATAGTTAAGAGTTGTAACAGTTTAAACACTTTTAAAAAAAAATCTTAAAAAAGTTTTTGATACATATTAATAAAACAAAATTAATAAATTGCAAAAATCTTTTTGACGATTTTACATAATTATGATAATAAAAAATCGTGGCTTTAAAAAGGAACTCTATTCTTGATTCTATTGGTGACCATAAAATCATTTTATACATAATTTTAATATGCTTAAACAGGATTGCTAACTTTTTACGCTTTTTGTAAAATTTTATTCTAGTGGTAGCTATGCTTATGTTTTAATGTATTATTTTTTATTCATTTAAACTTACTTTCCACACCACTATATGTAAATTATTTTAAAATGCCATTTTTTCTAGCTATCTCATGGTGAAGCTTTTAAAATATTGGTAAAAATACTGAAAGTTATGGTTTTTTAATGTCTATCACTCTATGAAATATTTTTCAAAAAGCGTAGTAGTTGGCAGGCATCCTTTACGATTGAGTTTGGTCATTTTATACTTTGCTTTATTCAATTATGTAAAAAAATTTCAATTTAAAATAACAGTTTGTTATAATTTAATTAAAGAAATTTATTGATCATTTTTTTAATTAAAAAAAAATTATGAATGTATACTTAACAAAAACATTTAATATTATTGATCACATTAAACTGATAGATAAAACACATAAAGCCTGATTAAAATTGCAAATATAAATTTATTAATGAATTCTTCATTGCGTACAATAGTTTATAATTTTATAAAGACACAAAAATGAGAAATTTAAGAAAAACTATTGAATAGGAAATTTTGAATAGAAAAATTAAAAGATTCAATACTTTGTTGAATATTGTAATGAGATCTAATACTTCTTTAATCAAATAATTAATAAAAAGTTTCCCTATGTTCAACATGGTACGTAGAGTTTTTAAAAAGTGCTTAAAGGTGCATATTTTTGATTTTCATTTCTTAAAAGCTCTTAAAGGTGCTTTTTTCATTGCTTGTTGTTTTTAAAAAGTGCTTAAGTTTCCTTTTTTGAAAAGGAGACTTTTTTTCTTTCTTTACCATGTCGCCACATATTATTCAAAAGCATGCTTTTTACATTGTTCTATTCAACGTTTATACAATACAGTCAATCACAATCTATTTCAGCGTCCCATCGATCCATAGCTTATGAAAGTGCCAATCATTTAACTTGTTTGATGAAATACTTGGGAGTACACATGTGCATCTACTGAGCTGGGTTCAGTGAGATTCTTGCACTTTCCTGTGCAACTCTGCTGCATTTTGCTAGATATTCTCAATTTCAGGCTTCATTTTCCACCGTCTGATATCGAACCAAAAAACCTCTTCATCTTTTTATAATGGCTAATATAATCAAGAAAAAGAGTTCTTTGTCAGAAACTGCTTATTTTGTAAAGTCTATCATGTAAAGTCTTTGAAAATTATTTTGCATTTTGTTAATGTATATAGTGCTTAAAAAAGTACTTAAAAGGTGCTGGTTTTTTGCTGGAAGATTTGGCTATGCTCCCTGTTCAAGGATTATATAAATAGAACAATATGGTAATGTTGATTTTATGGTGATGTAAATAATAGAGTGGAGGTTTGAAAGAGAAAAAAATATTCTGCATTTAATTTTCTTTATCTTATGAACATATAAAATAATATATCTTTTAATAATATGAGCAATATTCTCACATTTAAAAAAATAGCCTTCTCCGGTCTTTTTCGCATTTAGCAAGTCGAAATGATATTTTTTTTTAAAAAAAAGCATGATTCTAATACCACAAAACTTATAGGCGAAAAGTAAATGAATAGCAAAACCTTGTAGATTTATGATGAAATCACGCATATAGGAAGTTATTAAACTAAAACGCCGTCTCTATGTTCGCAAATTAATATAGTATTAAAATATTGGAAATTAAAAACTATTTAAAAATTAATTACAATAAATAGCAAATAATTAATAGAAGAAATAGTGAAATCGATGTGTCAAAAAGGGAATAAACAATTGTGTGAATCAAATTTTGTGTGTCATAATATTATGATAAATACCAGGAATTTAAAAACTTGAAGCAATGACTTAAAAAAACAATGGAAATATCGTATGAATTTACTATGAGGGCTACAATCAAGTAAGTTTCATAATGTAATGTGATTCTTATAGTGTAATGAGTAAATATCTCTTTAACAAGAGTAAGCGAAAGTTTCAAAATCTACGCTTGTGGTTGGCGGAAGTCCACAAATCAATAGTCTTGAGATATGCAGAAATTGCAGAAAAATCACATGCTCTGCACCTGGTTTAAAGACTAGGAATCATGGTACCAAAAATCTGGGTTTTTAGTATTAACCTAAGGATGTTTAAATCAATTTATTGACCTTGATGACTTGCCATAGTTTTATTTTTCTCTAAAAATTTGAGTATATGTTGTATTTTTTAGTGCAATTGCCTTTGCATTTTAGATGATTATATTTAGTTTTGTTATTCATTGTCTTTTTAAATGTTAAATTTGAGATAGTTCCAATAGTTCATATGATAATATTAATTGTATATTGAAAAATTTCAGTATATATTAAGTAGTTCATGTGATTTTAGCATGTAAAGATATATTTTTTTTACTAAGTATGTTACTATACAAAATTATAGTCCTCTGAATATTTTTGTATATTTAATAAGTTCGTTTTAACTTGTAACTTGAAAAGTATGAAAGATGTTCAAAAAATTCCTAATACATTTAAAAAGAAACATGTTTAATTACTACCTACCATTTGTTTAAGAAGGTAATAATTTCACACTCTCAGATATTCTACAAAATTGATACTCTAATTCATTAATTTTGTTAAATAAAAGCTTTTGGTTACTTAGCACATATTTGTATATATAACTATAAGAAACCTGATGCATCAAATTTCTTCTCTATTTCAGAAAAATTACTGTTCATGAGTTTTTTATTGAAGGCACCATCCAAGAAAAAATTTATCATATGAATCGTGACGCAATTTTAGAAGATCAAGGAGAGTGTTCTGCCAAGTCTAATTTAACAGTTAATGATCTTCTCACTATTTTGGGGTAACATCACTTACATTCAAAGTTGCTATCATTATTCATTTCAGTTTTGTCTGTTTATCATTTCGTTGATAAAATTTTTGTGATAAAAAACTTTCATTGTTCATTTCTATTCCATATACCAGTGATTTTTGTTTTTACTTGTTAAAATGCATATTAGTTGTTGTGTAGAATGCAAACTTCATAAAAACATCTTTTTACTTGTTTTTAAATATTTCTTAAAGCATTTAAACCACTTTTTTGACAAACTTTTATGTGTAAAATAAATAAAAAGGAAAACATTTGTATTACAAATATTTTAAGCAACATATTTTAAAAAATTTTCAAAGAAAAGTGAATTTTACTTCTGAGATTTATGTAATATTAAGAAGAAAAATAAAAATGTTTTTCCATTATAATTTGTTCTGTGTAATATAGTTATATTCCATTTTTCATGTCACCATTCTTTCTCATGCATGTAGTCTGCCTCTATAATTCCTTTAAATTTTTGAATAATGATTGATGAATAAATTCATTAATCATTACAAATTTTTCTGATTAAAATCCAAGCGAAAAAAATGCAAGCATTATATCATTTTCATTGCAAGTTGCGCATCGATTATAAATGTAATTAGATATAGATAATGATTGTTTAGTATTCAACTCCTTGCTATGATTACAAGTAATCACAGTAGCAAATTATTATTATTTCTCATTTCAAGCAGTTATGATTATTTGTAATCACAGTAAAAAGTGATTACAAATAATCAGAATTAAAATTTTCAAGTCCTGGGAACGCAAGTCATCATGACTACTTGTAATCATAAAGTAAGATTATAAGAAATCGTAACTACAAGCTATCATAATCTAACAATTACAGGTAATCTTAAAATCAAGTGATTGTGATAGATATGATTACCACACACGATTAGAAGTAATCATAATTTCAAGTAGGCTTAATTGCATTGTAATAGGAATTGTAGGTAATTGAATACTTTTAAGAAAAGGCATAAATTGTATATGAAAATTGTTTAGTTTGCTATTTTTTGGTTTATTGAATGAAAACGTTTAAACATACATAAATACACGGATAAGATTATATTATGATTACTTGTAATCACAATAAGAAACGATTAAGGGTGATTATGATTGAGTAATCAAAATATATGATGACATATAATCATGCTCAGCGGCGCCGATAAAAATCTAGTGTTGGGATGGTCGGAGTTGGAGAGAAAAAGGTTGGAGAATAATCTCAAATTTTAGGAAAGTAAATTATTCTTCTATTATAAAATGCAACTGATTACATTTAAAAAAAATTTAAAAATTTATTACAGTTAACAATTTAAGAAAAAACTAATAATAATGAAACAACTAATAATAACGAAATAACTAATAATAACAGGAACAAGAATTATCTAAGCGCGCACCAAAAATTCTGAAGGAGTGTGCGAAGTGGAAACGAGTTTAATTTTTACAATCTTTGGGGATGGAATTTTAGTGGGTAGAATGCTCTTTCGTTCAATGGAAATAACAGAATATGACTCAGCTTAGAAAGAGAAGAAAATGTTTAAAAGAGGGGTGTACCCCACCTCCTCCGCTTGTCATTACTATTGGAGCTGTTTAGGAGGAATCAATTAGTTATTTTTAAAGGGGTTGGGGAAAAGAAAGGGGATACAGTATGCAACCCGAAATCCAGCGGGACTGGGCAGGAAATTTGGCACTTAATCCGATTAAATTTTTTTTCAAAGAAATTTTTATTGATGAGACAAAAATAGAAATCAGTTATATTCTCTTTTTATTTGGAATTTTATTCTGTTGAAGTAAGTAATTTTATTTTATCTTTTAAAAATAAAAAAAAGGCGTGAAGAAAAATAAATCTGTGTGAAACAAAACATCTGTTCTTAAAGCAGTTTAAAATAAAGTGTTAAGTAAAAACCCCTGCATTTCCAATGAACGAAATAAAGAAATGCAAGTTGGAAGAAACTGATCAATCAATCTTGACAGCTGTGCTTGTGTTCTACTGGTTTGTCCCCAAATTTCCCTCTCCTGTTTGACCATAAATTGGTCGCACCCAGTTGACATTGAAACTACCATGTGGGGTACAAAATGAATTCTATCCCTTTTGCGGCCTTTTTTTACGATTTATTTATTTTGCGGCTTTTTTTTAAGTTATTAACTGTTAATTTGCTGGGGGTTTTTTTTGTTAATAGTTAGCTTGTTTTTTTCTTCTCGTTATTAGCTGTTTGCTTGTTTTTTTTTTTTTTTATCATTATTAGTTGTTAGCTTGTTTTTTGTAGTTATTCATTGTTAGTTTCTTAACATTAATTGTTACTTTTTGTAGTTCCTTGTTAGTTTTTTTTTTTTTTTTTGTGAGGTGAACGTTTTTTGTTAAAACAAAATGTTATCTAAAAGAAAAAACGAGAACTATGATCTCGATCCGAAGAAGAAACGTGGATTATTTCTTAAATAATTTCTCCTTCGAGTTATTTCTTCTTGATTTCATGATTATTTTAATTAATAAAATTTCTTAAGATGGGCCAGTTTTTAAATTCACCCCATCATAATCTACAATAGAAACTTAACTAAATTGATTGGTTTTTCTGAAATTAACAGTATAATTGAATTATAGTAGTAATATATGGGTGCCATATTGGAATTTCCGAAAGAGATCTGAAGTTCGGCAAATCCCGAAATACGGAATTTCGTCAGTCCCGGGAGTGCCGGATTTGGGGTCCTATTACTTCCTTATCTGTTCGCTCCAATTACTTAATAGCCAAGGCTCTAAGTGGATTTCCAGCTTGTGATCTTTCTTTAAGCTGGGGGTGGATACAAGATGCATACCTTTTGAAATGGTCTTATGCGATGTTTTTTTAATTATTTCGTTTATTTATTTTCTTGCAGACTGCTGCCAAAAGTTTGCTAAGAATTGGCGATTGTTCTGCAGCAGATCGCGATCTGGGCGAATATGTTTTTCTCTCAGAAAAATTTTAATTTATAAATTTTTTTCCTACTAAAAATTATTTCGTAGGAAGTACCGCATGTAGGAAAAAAACTTTTTTCAATAGTGCCGTGGCGCTTTCACCGAAAAATACGGTACTAACTTATTTTACAATTCTTACCATCATATATATATCTGATCCGATATTCTCCTTTTAATTAGAATTCGTAAGGTTCTTTAAAAAATGTAATAGTGGCAGCAAAACTAAGAAGATAATGGTATTTTATTATGGTTATATTTACCACAGTATGAAATAAGCAATTTCAATATATAAATTCAAATATATAGTTTTGAAAATTTAATTTTAAAATAAAAATAACTTCTTTATTTCAGTATAGGTCCCATGGCCTTTTTAAATATTTTAAGGACCGCATGAACCCTGTTAGAATAATAATTTACACTTACAGATGTTTTTTTCTTCTTTCCGCATTAGATTCTGATAAAAATAATGATCAAGAAAGATTCATTATACTTGAAAAAAAATAAATAAATAAATGCCTATTCTCGCAACGGCTATCTTTGAGGGGTGAAAAAGTGATGTAAAATACAAATGCTAAGTAACAATGCCAAACATAAATAAAATTGGAAAAAATGCAGTGCCCCATAAGTGAAATAAAAAATTAAATAAAAACAAATCTAGAAAAACCGCAATGTCTGAGATAAGCAAATCAGAGCATAATGCATTGCCACTTTCCACTGAGTGAAGGTGTAAGAACTATAATTAAATGTGATATTAAGATTAGTTTTGGGCAAGATAATGGTTATGGCTCTTAGGTTGAAAAAAAAACATAATATATAATTCATCAAACTTTCTAAAAAATTCAATGCGGTACATGTTTCTTATTTTATTTTATTTATTTTTCGACTGCTGCTCTGAAAAACATTTTTTAGGATGTTAAACAATTTCGTCTACAAGTGAAATTTCAAAAGTAAAATGAAACAATATAATGACCCCTCTCCCAAGTAAGGTACTAGTTACAAGTCAATTATTTCAAACAAGTTAACTTCTCCCCCCTATTCAAAATATTTGGAAAATATATTTTTTATTCATCAATCCAAACACTATTCTGCTTTAGTGTATACTTAACGACATATTTCAATAGAATTTATATTTTACCCATAATATTTTATTTTATTTATTTTTCTTTCTCAATCAATATATATATATATACTAATTGTATGAATAGTAAATATGATGGCAAATGCATCTTTTCACAACTTTTACTCATTTTTACTGCCTCTCTTAAAAAATAAAAGAATAAGTTTAATTTATAATAATTTTAAAATGTTCAATTGTTTCTAACAGTTTTAAGCAATTAAGTGTTATATCCAAACAGATTTCAATTCTGGGGTTAATTAAATCATTGTCATGTTTCAATTGACCATAAAAGAAACATTAACATTCTTGTTTTTTTACGGCAAAATAAAAGAACAAGTTTTATTTATAATTTCTAAAAAAATTTTATTAAAACTATTTTCTAAACATATTAATTGCATCTATAAAATAATGTGTTATCCAAAAATCTCTTAATATATCTTATTTTAGCATTAAGGAAATTATAAAGTTAGAAAAAGCACAATTTTTTGAGATGATGATTCTAAAAATAACACTGTTTTGGAATCTTTTTACAATTTTCGCTTTTCAACATTTGCTATTTAACAACGCAAGGCATATCGAGTATTTTCCTGATATAGCAATATTTCAAAAATATAGCAATATTTCAATAATCCTCATAAAGCAATATTTCAATAAAATATCGAGCAATAATAAGCAAATTTTTTCAACATTATATTTTTTAAAAGGACAATTTTCTTACTATATCTTTATTTTCCAAAAAAATAGTATGCTTAGTAAATACTCATCTGTTCTGCATTGAATAATTTTGATCAGCAGAATATTTTTAATTTCTTAACAAGATTTAATTCTCAGATAACTGGCAATAATTCTAAGTTTTCTTTTAATAAAAACTTGACAATAATTTAAAAAGGAACTTTACTTTAAAGGAAAGCATAGATTAAAGAACTAAAACAATTGATTGTATATTAATGGAAAAAATAATATACATGGTAGCATAAAGAATAAGAGTTTGACAAATGTTAAAATTTAACTAAATAGTTCATAAAATAATTCTGCAAAACACGCTTGGACAGGTAATTAACAAATTTATTTTCAGATTAAGACAATATATAAGAGGTTGAGAAATTTAAAGATGCTTGAAAATGTTGACTACGTATTTGTATTCATAATTATAAAATATATATTGAAGAAATTGATAAACATATTCCAAATCTATGCATACGTTTGTATATTATTAAAATTTTATCAATTATTGAACAAACAAACTAAAAAATAAAATT